CTGCTGCTAAAAACTATTCTGCCAAGATTGGTTATGAATATCCAATTGCCGTCGCTTTGGACACCAAGGGACCTGAGATCCGTACTGGCCTGATTGAGGGCAGCGGCAGTGGTGAAGTTGAGTTGAAAAAGAATGAACTCATTAAGCTATCCACCAATCCGGATTACATCGAGAAGGGCAACAAAGATATCATCTATGTGGACTATGCAAATATTGTTAAGGTCGTAAAGCCCGGCAATCGTGTCTTCGTTGACGATGGTCTCATTTCCTTGATCGTTAAGGAAATTCAGGGTGATACCCTGGTATGCCAAATTGAAAACGGTGGTGCTTTGGGTTCACGCAAGGGTGTCAACTTGCCCGGAGTACCCGTCGACTTGCCCGCTGTGTCAGAGAAAGACAAATCTGATTTGAAATTCGGTAAAATGGTATAAGGGTCGTCGAGAGTTTTATCGCTATACACCAAAGGAAACTCCGGCAATGAAAGTTTTCCCGTGACTAAATCATTTGAATAAGCTCCAGGGGCAATTACTTGACTTGGATTGCTTCTCGGAAATGTTTCTCGAGGCCATACTTGGATTGACATTGCCGCATTGTAAACCTCTTCAACTGCACAGGTATTTGCGCAAAAGATTTGACTCTATATTTCATATTTTACTTATACTAGGTTCACATATAAGTAGATTATCCTCATTTTCGAGCTTAACACCCTAATCTGTAATTATAACAAGAGATTAAACCGATAACTTTTTGGTGTCCCTCCTAGTTTTATCGATTGTTTTTGCAAAAAAGAGGAGAAATGCCAAATGTTAAAGTAAACAAAAATGTACGCTAGCAAGGAGAAGAGGTTTCTGAAGGGATTTTTAATAAACTGTTAAGTTAAAATATATTTATATTGCTAATTATAGCATAAAAACGTGATCACGGTGGCACAGAGAAGAAACCTAACTTTTCCTTGAGATGTGAGAATAACAAGCACAACAAATTTGACGGCTAATAATCTTTTGCCTGTGTAAACGGGGTAATTAAAAGCGAGCTTTGATTGAGATAATATTGATATGTGAACATAGTTTTACTGAACCCTTGGCAGTATTTATTTTTTTTTTTTAACGCAAGAAATTGCAGAGTAGCACAAAATGTAAGAAGTGTCTTGAGAACTGCATACCTAATGGGTTAAGAAATTTTGATGTACAAAATTTTTACTGTGAGTTTGTTGGGTGTTTTTTTTTGCATGAAAATTTGTTTTCCTTGACTGACCTTCAGCCGTGAAAGTCTCTTCGGCTTCTTAATTTAAATTATGATTGCAGAGACTTCTTTTGTTTGTATTGGGAGTAGAATTTCCATGAACCTTGTAAATAATAGTCATTGTTTTTTATCTTAAAATACCGCGAAAAGTTTACAGTCTGCTTAAAAGCGCCAATAACGATATCTAGAAGAAAAGTAAACAAAATCTGGGTGCTTTTGTTTTTAGTTTGAAGACACCAAATCTGGGTCAAAATTTATAGCAATCGTAACAGGCTAACCTAATATTCGCGGCTTGCGTTTTGGTACGCACGCCGTCGAATTTGTTTTTTTGCGTCACCCGAAATTGGCTTGCGTGCGTTTGCATTTGATGTCATTGAGCGAAACGTCAAATCAAAATGTCACGCAGAACAAAAATTGGAAATTGAGTTAGCTTCATACGCACGCCGTTCAATTTCGGTTGGTCCCATACAAGTTGTATGTGCATGAGAAATTTTTGACAGTAAATTGGCGGCGTGCGTGAATATTAGGTTAGCCTGTAAGTTGTGTAAGAAACTTCACAAAAATCAAAACAACATTGTGTCACAATGACAATCATAAGCGAGTGAGCATATATTTACCGACAATATAGAGAATAATCAAAATCGGGTGGGATTTGAGGAGTAGACAGGTTTTTTGACACAAAAATATTTTTCCCAATATGCGCCAGTGCATAATACGCTCCAATAAGACACATTAAAAAGGAAAATCAAATTTCGTCATGTTTCAGGTGTTAAGCGGTCGGAAAGAAAAGTTCTTTATGTTCCTTTAGTTCACAAGATCATAAGAGACTGCAGTGTAGATATAAACTACCACAAAGTTCACGAAACTTCATTTCTGGTTTTTGCCTTCGTTTGATAGGAATTGTAGAAAAAATTAAGCAATTAAGCAGCAAATTAGAAAATAAGAACAATTATCTTAACGTCGGTTAAATGAAAATATTTGAATTTATAGAAAACAGAATAAATTCGAACGTCGAGCAAAAACATTGATTTTTATTAATTTGAACCCCTACAACACAATTTTTCATGCATACGAAGTAGAGGGCTACATGAATTCATTCAAAACGGCTTATGAATTATCTATATCTATACTATTAAATAAAATTGATTATATGGAGTACGTTTGTAACGACTTATTTGTCAAAGTACTAAACCGATTTTAATATTTTTTTTTT